ATGTGATGTCTACTATATAATATGGAATATGAATTCGTAATATGTAGCATAAAACAGTTTAGATATTATATGTGCTGCATAACATGAAACACACAACATAAAACGGATAATATCTAACATACAGCATCCCTTGTAAAGTACTCACTGTACTACAGTTACTGAACGGGGGATGTTTGCCTCAAGCCAGGGCCTTCAATAGAAAAGAGCCCTCGTCCCAGACCCCCCTGTGAAGGATCTAGAAAGTAGATCCCCCAATTTGGAGCCCTATACTACTAAGGGTACTTTCTAGGATTCCCCATTAAGAAACCCTAAACCCTAAACCATGAAATAACCCTAAACCCTAAAATAACCCTAAGCCTTAAACCCCCATTAAGGGATCTCCTTTTTGGATCCTCCAAAGGGGGTCTCTCGTGTCAGGAGCCGAGCACTGATCATGTCTTGCGATCCTCAGCCTCCGCATTTCAGCCCCTTGGGTGCAATACTTGGAGGATCATGGGACTTACTAAGTATGGTTATAAGTTATATGTACCTTAACTGGGGTTATAAGTAGTTATAAGTCTAGCTGCCTTAATAACAACCTCAGTTACTAAGTCCCATGATCCAATAGCGCAGTTGTTCTCAAAACCCCCTACACCCTAAACCCTAAACTCAAAATCCCCTAAACCCTAAACTCAAAATCCCCTAAACCCTAAACTCAAAATCCCCTAAACCCTAAACTCAAAATCCCCTAAAATCCCCTAAAATGTTAGGTAGGTTTTATAGGCTCCAGATAAGCCCTGAAGCCCTTGTCCTGAAAGCCACAACAGATTCTTCAACACTTCTGGAGAAGCTGTCTTCTTTAGTGAAGAGTACGCATATGTATATATGTATATATACCTGTATATATATATACATACATACATACATAGGTAGATACTGTACATGCATATACATATATATATATATATGTACATAGATACACGCACATGTTCGCTTATAGATTTAAGCAGTTAGTTGGTTACGTCTGTTCATGCAAGAGGGCGAGCGAGAGAGACACTTCCATTTTTTGATGCCAAGAGGCGGCGGCGGACTGTAGGATGAGCCCATGGAGGACGGGCTTCGGGTTCAGGGCTTCGGGTAGTTCGTGTGAAATTCAGGGAGCAGAGGTTTGAGGATTTTAGACTTTAGGTTCTGGGGTTGGAGGCCTTAGGGTGTGGAGTTATTATTAAAAACCTAAGGGGTGGAGATTCAGGGCTTCGGTCTGTTGGGTTTGAGCCCAGGGTGTGGGATTTCCTGTGGCAGGTTACGTGTGTTTGTGTGTGTTCAGAGGATATTGAGCTTCGTCGCTTCGGATTCAAGGTTTTGGGCTTGCAGATTTTGGTTTCGGGGCTATGCCTCTTTCGGTACGAAGCCGAAACCGTTGCATAAAGACCGTCACAAGAAGACTCCCCCCATGCAATACCCAAATGAAGCCTTCAACGCCAGAAACTTCATACAACCAACACTGACTATTGAGACCCGCAGCCTGGAACCCTGAAAACGGATAGCTGTTGTTGAGTAAATCAAGCTCGGACAGGCAAGTCCTTCCGGCGTGGTCGGAGTACCAGCCCAAGTCTGGACGTAAGAATCCGACACTGAAGTCTCGCCACGCCTTCAGAGATGCCTCTAGCCTGAAGGGAGTGTTTTCGTAGAGTTCTGTTCAGGGTTCTGTTCAGGGTTCTGGAGAGTTTCGAGAGGTTTTTAGGCATGCAAGTTTGTCTGCTGATGCTGTTGGCGGCCTTGGTAGTTAGACTGGGATTTTGGGGTGTATTGAAGTCTAGTTCCGACTATGTCACCCTTATCGCTAAACTCTGGTGGTTGAATGCGGACAAAACCCGGTCTTCTTGAGTCAGCTCGGATGCAGCTTACATGCCCTACTTCTGTCACTATCCCACCCGGCTTCTGGCCGTAAAGGGCATCCAACCCTGAACCCTTGAGCGAGGAGGATTGAGGGGTTTGGGGTTTAGTGGTTCAGGGGTTTAGGGTTCTGCGGAACTGCAAGCCCTTAACGGGGTGGCAAGATCCCCATATAAGCACCGTCAGCCAAGACAACCAGATAAGCAAGAGACCTTAAGCCGTCAACTTACCTTTGGTTAGTAGGGGATGGAAGAACCGTAGTAATAGTAGTTATAATTGTACCCCATTACATTCCTCCATTCCCTACTATCCAAAGGTAAGTAAAGGCTGGAACCCCCGTAACCCCGACGTCCCAACTCCTAAACCCTAAACCCTCTAAAACCTAAGTCGACGGTCGTCTGGTTTGAATGTAAACCCCCGGTCTAGCGGCATTGGCGACTGCACAAGAGCTGCTGGGCTTTGGAGTACCATACGTTAATACTTTTTTGGGACCTGTTACCTAAACGGAACCAACTATGAAATAAAAGTCTATATGCTAAACCCCTAAAACCCCTGAACCCTAAACCCTTAAACCCGATAAACCCTAAACCCGTAAACCCCGAAAACCCCTAAAACCCTTAAACCTTTAACCCCCTAAAACCCCTCAACCCTAAGCCCTTAAACCCTTAAACCCTAAACCCCTCAACCCTAAACCCTCAAACCCTGAAACCCTAAACCTTTAAACCCTAAACCCTTAAACCCTAAACCCTTAAACCCTAAAACCCTGAAACCCTAAACCGTAGTCTATAACTTTTTTCTCCCTTTTGTTACTTCAAAGCCCAGGCTGGTTCTCGAGGTCCCAGCTGTCCTGGCGAGCTCCTTCTGTGTTCAAAAAGTTTTACTTTAGTGCTCCTACCTTAACCCCACGTAACCTACCTTTTTAAGGACTTATATAAAGAAATGTATTCAAAAAGTTTTACTTTAGAAGGGGCCCCCACCCTGTAATAGTGACCATAAGGCTCATATTAGGGCCCTATTATATTCCTATTATACCACGATTACAGGGTGGGGGCCCCTTCTAAGTTTTACTTTAGTGCTCCTAGGAATTACAGTAAACCCCATAAAGCTGGAAACCGGATTAAGTCCAAATAGTGCTGGTATTCCCTATAGATTACTCTTAAGGATCGAGGCTATGGGGTTTCCAACTTTTAGGCTTCTATTGTAGTCCCTTCTTTCAATAAAAAGCAGAACTTCAAGGGGTTAGAAAACCATAAAATCTGTCATAAAGCATTTATTAGAAGCTGCCCCCACCCTGTAATAGTGGTATAATAGGAATATAATAAGGCCCTAATATAACCCTATATTATCCTTATAGTCACTATTACAGGGTGGGGGCCCCTTCTAAAGCATTTATGGATTCAGAAACGTCTGCTGGAACCCTGAGAGTTCGGGAGACCTACTGCGCCGGGGGGCCGATACTTCGACCTGCTTGAACATCCCAGAGACTCCAAAATCCCCTTAATTAAGGAATATACCCTAAAACTATAGTAGGATCCCTTTTATGATTTAAGGATCCCTTAGTTAAGGAATATACCCTAAAGCTATAGTAGGATCCCTCATATGATTTAAGGAATTTCCCCTTACTTAACGGATTTTGGAAATTCCAGGATGACGGAACCCCCAGTCCCCCACCCTGGCCATAGTCTCCTAACACAAGTGAGCCCTGGGGCCTCCTCCGGAATTAAAAAGTATAGACTTAGGGGTACTTAGAAATGATTTTTAATTTTTGGTTATTATAATCCCTAAGAAACAGCTAAAATTATAATTTTTGCTAGGGTTCTAAGTTCAGTATAGTAGAACATTCTAAACGGGGTAGAAATGACTCCCATAGGATAAACGGCACTTTCCCCGACTCCGCAAGGACCCGGTATGTTAGATAATGCACGCGTCCTTTGAATCTTTCGACCCGGGGGCCCCGGGGGTGTATAGGAGACGGAGTATCAAGTAATCATACCCACCATTGAAAACCCTTGATGCATGGGTAATTCTCGAAAGTTTCGGAAACCCTGAGGATGGAGTCCATGATTTTAAAGCACAGGGTTTAGAGCTCTAGGGCCGCAAGTCTAGTAACTCTGGTGGACAAATCCTCCACTACCTTTCGCACCCCAAACTCTGGGAATGATGCCCTTTTCCTTGTGATGGATCATACCAGGGTTTCGGACATCAACAGAACAGCACAGATTTTGGGTTTCAGGTTCAGGGTTTCCCAACCCTGGTTAAGCGGCCCTAGGACAGGTTGCGCGAACAGCACGCGCGCCTTAGAAACTAGAATAGTGCTTTGGGACGATTAAGGAAGGAAAGCCAGCAGAATCTGTTAGCAGTTATTCCGACTCGTAGATTAAGGTCTGCAGACCCAAGATATGTTATTGCTCTTTTTGAAACGCAACCTTAGCTTCGGCTACCCGTGCCTACATCATAAACTTGGCTTATCCATGCCTATATCCGTATCGCAATGGCAGGTAAGGTATAAGTACAGGACAGCCTTGGATGTAATCGAAGCATCAGTACACGCGTGCTGACGGCGTTTGGGCGAAGCTGCCAGCTGAAGGAGACCTTGCCAGGATTTATCTTCCACGACGATCCTGTTTTCACAGACGCGCGACAGCTTTAGGGTATGTGGACGTAGAGCTTCTTGCTTTACACATTTCCAGATTCGAAGTGTACGCGTGTCCTCATTTCGTTAGGCTGCCGCTGCACAGCAAGTTGACAGAGGCGCCCCGTTCAAGTTGAAATAAGTGTACGAGCCGAATCCGGACCGCAGTATGCGACCTCCGGATGCTTGTGCCCACACTTCGTTTATCAAGAGCCTACGTTAAAGGCCATGTCGTACTTTCAAGGCTAAATGTGGGTGTGCCCTCAGCTGACAAACCCACGGTCCCAAGTTTTGGACTCCGCGGCTACGACGCGGCAGAAAGGCCCCACCCAGTTTAGGAGTGGCCTGCCTGGGAGTTTCTGGAACATCGGATCCCTTTTTCTTAGGTGTCCTTCAGTGAGCAGGGCTTTAGGTAATTTAGGTTTTAGGGTTTTCGAACACCGCTATCTCTCGATCGAGAGCAAGAAAGCTTGAATTCCAGACACTCCAACAAATGGCTACGGCTCAAGCTGTTGTGCTCAAGAAGCTTCCTAGAAGGGTTTGCCCCTCTCCCTCCCTGCCTCGCTTCCTGGCCTCATTGCGCTCCTGGGGTGGAGCTGGGGCGATCTGTGGCGGCCAGTTCTTCGACTGTTTCTACCTGATCATTGGCATCCCTACTTCGTGACCGTGCTCTCCGAGGTGATTTCTTCCTCTGCACGCTGGCAATCTTGAGGGTCTTGGACGTTGTGCCCTCCTGTGCGATCGTTGGTCCGTTTTACTGGGGTGACTTCGTGGGTCTCATTGTGCTTCCCTGGCATCACTTGGTCTGAACTACTTCTTTGCCAAGGTCCCCTTGTGCTTTGGCTCCTTCGTGGTTGACTTTGTGGAACTCACTGGCATCATCTTCTTCCTTGTCGAGGGCCTTCTGATTGAGGTCCCTGTGTGGGGCGGCCAGTTCTTCTCCTTCGTCTACCTGATTCTGCCCTTTGTGACTTGCCCTCAACCCGATTGTGGACGAGATCGGGCGGCCAGTAAGTCTTCTATCTCTACCAGTTGGTCTTGTTGCTCCAGGCTCTTCACATTGGCATTGGCAACATGGAGTCTGCCGTTGTGAACGTGGACCAGCACATGGAGGGAGAGGAGAAGCCGTCCCCCACAGAGATTGCGGAATCTGGCAATGAGATGGACGAGGACGTGAAGGAGGAAATGCCGGCCGCACCAGTCAAGAAAAAGGAGAAGAGAAAAAGGGAAAGAAGGGCAAAACCTGTCTGTGTCCGTCGAGGTGATCGAACCAAAGGGTCGACTGATCCTCCTTCGATCTCCGACCACGATGATGATGATGAGGATGACGACGAAGACATCGGTAGTCCTGCTAAGCGACCTCATGAAGATAGTGGTGCAATCAATGCTGCTGAGATCAGAGAGTTGCTGTTCGGCCACGTTAAGGAGATGAAACAAGCTTGGAGATCATTTCAAGGGCGTCTCGACAAGGTCGAAACGGTTCAGACACAGCAACAACATGAGATGGTGAATCTTCGCACAAGGACTCATAAGCTCGAGAAGGACACTGAATCCATGCGGCAGATGAATGACCAGACTAACCGCAACGTTGACCACCTCACCGAGGAAGTCAAGAACATGAAGGTGCAGTGGGAGGAGATTAAGTTGTCTGCTTGGCCTGCCGCTAATGCTGTCATGCCTCGGGACGCTAAGGACCCCAAGAACTCCGCCATGACATCCGACCCTTGGAGTGAGTACCTTCGTGGCAAGGGGAGAAACTTGGGGAGACATGGAGACACTGAAGATCATCGTGCAGCTGCTGCTTCGTCTGCTGATGGTGGAGGTCAGCGTGACAAAAACCCCGATGCCCTGACCGAGGACGAAAAGCGAACATTAGTTGTGGGAGGGTGGCTCCGCGACACTCGCCGAGCGGTCATCGAGGAGGAATCGGCGGCGCTCTTTGCCACAGAGAACATCAAAAACCTGCTGGACTCCACGAAGCTCATGATCTATGGTCCCAGACGCTCGGTCGGCATGCTCAAGTTTCAACAACGAGAGGGTGAATCCTATGAGCAGATGAAACACAGGATGTGGGAGACCGTCAAGCTTGTTGCAGCTGCTAAATACTCTCTGCCAAGCACCAAAGAAGGGGGTGATGTGCGCACTCTCTGGGCAAGCTTTGTGAAAACCAAATCAGCGAGGTCGAAAAGTGCCCTCGTCAGCATGGTGAGGAGAGTTACGATCGCTCTTGCCCTTGATGCCAGAGATGAACAAGGTTCTTGTGTTCATGTGCTGAACACTCAGACGACGGCGTACGATTGTGACTGGGGGCTGGGCACCATTTGGTGCGGGGTGCACAAACTAGCGAGCGCGACTCACAAGGCGCCGAAAGAGGGCGAGCACGTTTTGGTCTCAGGAGGCTGGGTGTCCACAACCGCCATCGCCCAAACTGCAGGCTGCTCCGTTGACGAGGCTAAACAAGCCTTGGAAAGGGAGCTGTGATACACCCAGATGCAGGAGACCTGTTTCACTCAGAATTTGGATGCAGAGATGACTGTTGACGATGGGGTGATCTCTAAGGGACATTCCATGCATGGGCGACATTCGTTGTGTGCAAAACACAGATGGGGTCGCATCTCTCACTGGAACCTGGCAGGACAGTCCCTTGATCTTCTTGACGTTGCCCTTCGTGATGCTGAGATTGCCATGGTCCAAGAAGTCGCAAGAGGAGAGGAAGGTTGGGACACGAAGGACACTGATCTCTTCCACTGGGTTCTCCACAGATCTTCAGAACAATGGAGAGCTGTCGCGGTTGGCATCTCCATTGACCGTTTTGACAGTGTCATCCACAAAGTCGCGACTAATCAGGGGATGTGGTTACTTGTTCGCCTGAAAGGGTTGGGAAGAGTTGTGCTTGGATCCCTTCACGCCTTGACCGGGGTGACTACTGACAAATACCAGGCTTCGATCAGACAGTTCTTTGGCACGCTCCCTCGTAAATGGCGACAATATCCTTTACTCTGTGGTATCGATGCTAATGAAGTCCCGCACTGGATCGACAATGACGATGATGGAAATTCCGCCTTGGTACTCGGTCATAGTTCGACCAACCTCAACGTTCTTGTCCACGAAGCAGAGGCTCACGGAATTTCAGCATGTGCACCTTCCTTCACTCAGCGCAATCAACCCACACACTTTCCCCGTGATGAATCTCGGCAGGGTAGACAGATTGACATGATTTTCTCCAGACATCTCTCCTGTGGTACCGTTCATATCGATCCTGACAGACGACATGTTATTGGCTCCGATCATGCTCATCTTCATGTCGATCTTCAAGTTGGCAAACCTCCCAATCACAATGTTTGGGGTGGTGACTCGCGAGCTCGGTGGGTTGTTGCCGCTCCTCCAGCTGATGAGATCATTGTCGATGAGGATGACCTGATTCGAATTGGTAAAGCATGCACCAAACCCCGTTGCTCGCAGGCGTACAAAGATGACGAAGAAATCAAGGCTGCCATCCTGGTTGCACGCAAATCAGGTGACAAGAAGGATTGGAAACGTGTCCATAGGATGCGCAAGCAATCCAGAAAATCTTGGCAGGAACAAAGATTGTCACGAATTCTGCAGGGCAGCTGGGATGACTTTAGACAATTGCAGACTGAGAAGAAGCGAAAACGAGGTTGGTGGGGAGAACTTCTTCAAGATAAATCTTCAGCCGATCTCAGCAACGAAGTCAAACAGCACCTTGAGAAGAAGATGGTTGACCCCTCCCGTAGTGACTGGGATGACACCCTGAACCAGTTCATCGACTCTGTACCTAGGGGTGATCTTCCTCCCTTTACGTTGCTTGACATCCGCACAGAGCTTCAGCAGATGCGCTGTCGAAGTGCAGTTGGTCCGGATGGCATTGGGGTGCATCTCCTCAGGGAACTCGCTAGCCATGAAGTGCTAGGCCCTCAACTTTGTGAACTCACCAATCACATTGTGTCGTCATTGGAACTTCCTTCCTCCTGGGAGCGAAGTTTTCTTGCACTGTTGGCCAAGTGCTCTTCTCCCAAGGTTGCTGGCGATCTTCGCCCTATCAGCGTCAGCTCTGCCTATAACAAGCTTGTTAATCGTCTTGTTTGTGCGCGTGCTCTCCCTCTCCTTCGACGTGGGTCGAAAGTCTCAGCCTGTGGAGCCGGACGCCAAGCAGCTGATTTGATTGGTTGTGTTACGCGTATCCGCGATGTCGTACACGAGTGGAAGCTACCATGTCTGTTGTGCAAACTGGACGTAGCGGGTGCATTCGACAGGATAGACCGCTTGAAGGTCGCCAAGCTTCTTCGCGATCGGCTTGAATCCAAAGGTCTTCACGCTGAACTTCGCTATCTTCTCAGTCAACTACATGTCCACACCTTGATTGGACAAGTCCCAGGTGGCGAACGCATTGAGCTCTCCCCCAACACAGGGATTAAACAAGGCGCACCGGAGTCCGCCGAAATCTTCGGACTTGTCATTGATCTGCTCCTGGGTGAATTAGTTGAAGCCAAGCAGTGGAAGGTGATGGGGCGCTCGTTCTCTGATCTTGACATTGACCTGATGTTCTATCAGGACGATGTGTTTGTCGTTGACAGTGACTTTGCGCGACTGGGGCGACGTATCAGGGCCATTGATCGATGTCTCCAACAGGCTGGTCTTAAGTTGGCTACGAACAAGACAAAGATTGTTGCAAGTTCTGCTTATCGGGGGAGTCGCAAGATCAAGATTGGGGACGACGTTTTCGCTGTTGCGCCTGCTGGTGACTCGCTCAAGGTCCTTGGTCTCAGCTTCTCATTTGGACATCCATCTGCGCAGGCCAAAGAACTACTTGGACGAGCCCGTTGTGCGGCTGCCATGCACAAAGATGTCATCAACGCTCGTGGTGCATGGAGCAAAAAGATTGGCATGATACGCACGCTGGTTGAATCTCAATGGAGCTGGTCAGGTGGAGCCATTCACTGGAGCTCGGAGGATCTTCGAGGGGCGAATTTACTGCAACTTCATATCCTTCGAAGTGCCTTCCATCTTCGTCGTCTCTCTGATGAATCGTGGGTGACGTGGAACTCCAGGACCCTTAGGTTTTGCAGAGCTTGGCTTGTCAACAATCAGGTTCCTAGATGGTCTGAGAAAATTCTGAATCTGCAGCACAACCTCTTTGGTCACTGGGCTCGCCGAGTTGAAGCTGATCATCGAGGCCGGCCCTGCGCCTGCCTTGCTCTTCGTGCCCAGCAATGGAGAAGCACCTTCTGGTGGAGACAGCAGCAAAGTCTGCCGGACACAATTGGGATGCGTCATCCATCAAGATTCTACGCGTCTAATGGTGAGAGACAAATTAGCGAAGCTCATGGACTTCATTGGCAAGTTGTTGCTCAGGACCGCCTAACATGGGCGGGAGCCCGCGCGAGATATGTCAAAATGTGGGATGTGAAATGGTCCAGTGGCCGTCAATTGGCTCTTCGCTTCTAGTGGTTACCACTTGCCTCTGTGAGCTGTACGTGCAGGGAAGAATGAATGAGTCTTTGGATGAGATGATCGGTTCTTCTTTGTCCGTGCGCAGTGACAGTATGCATCTGGACTCAACTGATTGTACAAGCAGGATGTTCCTCTCTCTCTCTTGGATACTCACAAAGCTTGTCATTGCCTCTCGGCTTCTGCGTGAATGTGCTCTTCAAAGCGGTTGCACCTGTATCTTTGGCTCACAGCTCCCTTGGGTTTCGCTACCTTCTGAATCCTTCGGTGAGCTCTCCGTACTCATGGCTCGCGCCAGCGCCGTCAAGTGCCTCGGCCTCCTCGTGGTGCAGCCCGTCTTTCTCCTTGTGTCTGCCGGTGTTGAGGATCCGCCCTCGTGGGGTGATATTCAGAGTTCTTCCTCATCCTACACTGGTGAATGGGCAGATGAGTGGGAAAATCCGTCGGCAGCAGTTGCTCCGGAATGGCCCAGCTCTACTTGGACCTCGGCCACGGGGACATCTTCATCGGCGACTTCTTCCTCGGCATCTTCTTCGACGTGTCCTCCCCCGACCTGGTGCAGCTCGACGACGTGGCCTTCTCCATGTTCGATGCCATCCTCTTCTTCTTCTCCTACGCCGTGTACACCATCGACATCTACGAAAACGGACAAATCGTATCGAGAATACACGCTCTATATGTCAGCTGCCTGGGATGAGGACCTCTGCGCTGGACTACAAGATGAAGAAGCTGTGGCTGCCGCTCTCACGGAAGACCTGGATACAGAGAACTTCTCAACTGGCCTCTCCCCTATCCCTGAGGATCTGCCCTTGCCTAATCTCAAGCCGACACCTGTTGTGGTAACGACTTCTGAAAAGGAGCTCAACTGGTTCGCAGCACTTCATGACACCCGTGAGCTTCGTGGTATTCGACGTCTCGTGACTAAACACGGGGTGAAACCAATGGCTGCGGATCATGAGGGTCGTAGCACTCCATCGCCCCTTAGATCAGAGACCACTGCGAGCTCCTCCTCTTCTACTTCCTCTTTGGTTTGTGGTGGGAATGTTCCAGTCGGCGATGATGATCCCGCTCCGTCCTTCTCCAGCTCCGCTACGTCCAATGGTCAACCTGGTCCTGGTAATTCCTCCAATGATCCTTGGCAGCCATGCGAATGGCAGTCGGAACCTGGTGTGCAACAAGATGGAGGTATCACAACACGCGGCGGACGAACCCGGGTGGGAAGAGACAGATGGCACTATGAAGATGGCTCGGTTCGTTATCGCCTTCGTGAACGACTCGCTGTCGATGCCACTGGTGATGATGACATTATTCAGGTGTCCTCGTCCGACTCGCCTTCTATCCTGGTCCCTCAGGTCGCACCTTTCACTGTCCAAGGTCACACTTTGGGTGACAATGGCAACTGGTCGCTGCAGGCCACCACCTTCTATGGGGAGACGTTTAGTGTGCACTCTGACAAACCTACTGTTGGTGAGGCCTCCACAACTGCGGGGAGCTCGAGCGTGGACGACTCTGAACACAGCTCCACGTCCACATCCGAAGACAACCAGATTGGCGTGGGGTTCTGGCGCCACGGAGTGTGGATCAACCGCCCTCGCACACCCCAAGAGCTTCGTCAACATGTTGGTGGAGCAGGTGCTAAACGATTGGCTAGGAGACAAAACCGTGTCTCTTCTTACCTACGGGGTGAATGGATTCCTGCGTGGTTACGGGACTACAAACAGCAGAAGGCTGATCGTGATCTACAGAAGGCCGACGCAGTTTGCCAGCTTCCTTGTGCACCTGACTCAACTGTGTCGACACCCGGCAGCCATGATTGTGTTCAAGCCAATGTGGAGCCCTCGCTCACTACTTTGAACAATGATGGAAACCAGCCGTGTTCTTCCGCCTCTCCTTCTACCCTGGAACATGATTCACAACAATGGTGGTGGCAGTGGAATGCGAATGGATCATGGTCGTGGACGAGCTCGTGGGACTGGTCACAACAGTGGGGTGACTCTTCGTGGACGTGGTCTTCCTCCTCTTCCACTACAAGTTCGACGTTTGTGGTCATCCCCAATGCTGGCCTTTTTCCTGACGTCACTCCTGCCCCACCACCACCTGTTCCTCCTGGTGACTGGATGATGAGCATCACCAATGGTGAAGAAGCCACTCTTCTTGAAGCCGGGATACCTCGCGGATTGGTGGATCGTGTGGCTGCACTCCTAGCATCTCTTGACCGCCATCAAGCACAGGGTTCAGGCCCTGAAAGTCGTTGGGCCATTGCGTGTCTTGTCCGACGGATTGACGAAGGTCAAGAGGCTCTGGATCGAGTTCGAGATGTGCTAGCTCGTCGACTCGTTCCTCGTGGTTTTCTTCCAGTTCGTCGTATACCAGCACAGGAAATGGAAAGATGGCGCCTTTTCAATTGGGCGCGGGGACACACTGATCTTCTACAGCAGATCTTTCAGCATCACTTAGATGTACGACTCCAACCTCGTGAATCTGGTCCGAGCCCCCAGTTCCTGCCTGAGAGTCCGCAGAGCATTGTTCACTCTGCTGAACTCGACGGATCCACAGAAGATGCAGGTCCAACTGGGGCTTCCTCCCCTGTGGCATCAGTTCACTCTGGAGCACAGTTGGAGTCTTCGGAGGAGAGTGGACCGGTGCAACCATCCATGGACAGTGAATGGGCCTATAACTCTCGGGGTGAGTTGGTCTTTGTTCCTCCGGCCTCGGCTGAAGGCTCCCCTCGCGGACCTCCGCCACCTGAACCAGTAAACTTGCCACCTTGTTCTGAGCAGGGTGATGCTGCAAGTTCGTCCTCGTCGACTGAATCGGTTCATCCTTCGCTACCTCCTGCCCCTACAGAACTACTCGGCATTTGGAAGGAACCAGAGACTACAACTTCGACCAGTACCTCCTCAATGGTGTGGCTGGGTCCCTACCCCAGCAGTACAACGACATCGACATTGCAGCTGGACGTTTATGGGGTGAATTTCTCTGTGGAGCTGACTTCTGCTGAATGGTGTCCGTCCTTCTGGATTGAACAAGCTGACTGGATCCTGGGTGAAGGATGTCTGGATTGCTTTGGAACAACTACAACGACCACTACCTGGGCTGATGGGTGGGGACCTATGTCGACCAGCACTTCCACGACCTCGTCATTGCCCTGGCCCTCGGATATTGTAAGAGATGAAGTCTCCAGACAAGCCATCCATGGTGGTCAGGCCGACATCATTGATCTCATTCGCCGTTTACTTGACCGACAACGAAGACTTCGACATGTCGATCGATTATTGAGTGATGCCATTGAGGAGGCCTTACAGTGGGTTCACCTACCCCTCGTTGCAGTGCCGCTCAATTCTGGGACCATGGAGGGACATATTTGGCACACGGTCTCTCAACAGGCCTCGTTTGGTTCAGCTCCTTCTGAGTCGACACCATCCCAGACTGCCTCTTCACCGGCCGTCCTCCTTCAGCCTGGGTTTCCGCGGACGATAGAAGAGATTGTGTACGCACTGGGAGATGACTACTCCGAGCCTAGTCGCTTTGCTCATCTTCGTCGTCGAGCTTGGCGAGTACATGTACACAACATCTTACAAGCAGCCGATGGTGTTCTTCCAGCTAATGAACCAGACCAAGATCGAGATCTCTATTTGGTGCAGATCAATGAGGATATGCCGATTCCGAACTGGCCAGAGGACGAAGATGCACATCGACCTGAGATCCCATGGCATAGATTGTCTGTTGATGGGCTTCGTCGACGGGGTCGTACTCGACGTCCTCCTCCACGGTTTGCTGATCCTGATCGAGTTCCTTCCGTTGATTCAGGAGAAGTTCATGATAGAGTGACTGATGCTCCTCGTCATGTTGCTGTTCGTCCTCCTCCTGCCGATTCAGCCGGTGTTCATGATGCTGCTGACTTATCGGAAGACTCAGGGCCTCATGGTCAGAGGGAGCGAAGCAGAAGTCGAGATGGAGAATGAGGGTGCCGGTGTGATGAGGTCGTTGACTTTCTGAGTGCAGTTGTTCTTGACATGTCTGAGACTCCTTTCTAGAGTCTCTTTTCGTTTTCCTGTCTCGGTGCAAGCCCGGCTTAGGGCAGGTCACTGACCTCGTTCATGCGGGAGAAAGGCCACTGCATTTAAAAAAAAAAAAAAAAGACACTCCAACAAGCTGGCTTGCTGCCACAGCCAGCAGTTTGGGGTTTAGGATTTAGGATTTAGGCTTTGGGGCCTCGGATATAGGCAACGACATCCGGGGTTTAAACGTATTTAGGGTTGCGGATTCAGGGTCTTGGTACCTACAATCAACGCGACACCCGAACAAGACAATTGGTAGGCTGACTTCTCAACCCTAGACAACCCTAAGCCGTAAACCCTGTACCCCAACCATGAAGCCCTGGTATCTTTGCTTCGGCGTAACAGACGGAAAAAGGCGTTCAAAAAAAAAACGTTTAGATCGACCCCAAAGCCTGCAGACTTTCCATTGCTCCGAGCGTCAAACCCGGCCTCCCTAACTACCTGGAAGCTCTGGGTCTTCGTGCTACAACCGTAGTAGCAGCAACAAAAGGAGTAGTAGTCGTAGTAGTAGTAGTAGTAGCAGAAGTAGTAGCAGTAGTAGAAGTAGTAGAACTAGTAGTGATGATGATAGCCGTAGCCGTAGTGTTGTCGGACAAGAAGAAGACATGCATTTTTGTAGGTCTGAATCCGCAACAACCAGCTTCAGGGTATTCCTGCACCTCACATAGAATTAGGCTTACGGCTACAGACTGGCTAGGACGTGAAGCTTCCATGGTTTCGGCAGTAGACTGTCGGTAACAGCAGGTTTTGAAGCCCTAAACCCTAAACCGTAGAGTGGAGCAGTGAAGAGCCCCGAGCAGCAAGCCAGTCCGACACTCCTGCAGGCAGGAGGACCGTCTTCGGCTTTTTGATAGATGCTTACGGCATACTGTGTTGGGTGTTCCTCTTTAGAATTTTATTATAAGGTACCCAAAACACTATTCTAACTATTAAGGCCCCTACATTTAAGGCTTTGGGGTGTAGGGCCTAGGCTTCGGTTGACGGCGCTGGCCGTCGATCCTCCTGACCAGCGATCACGACGAAAGCAGTTTTGTAAATCACAGCATCGCCTTGAGCCGGAGAACACGGCACAGTGGGAGCAGCTACGGAGAGGAGTCGAACAGAGAGGGACATTGCGCGTTCTGCATGGCATCAGAGTTTGGCCTTCATTAAGATCCTTGTTGCGCCATTGTTCCATATCTGTTTGGCGGGGTTTACAATACAAGGTAATACTCACAGAAGGTCGTGGAAAATGAGCTTGTCCACACCATGGCCCTCATAGCAAGAGTACGGAGTACCTTAGGAGCTGCCCCCACCCTGTAATAGTGGTATAATAGGAGTATAATAGGGCCCTAATATAATCCTATATAATCCTTATGGTCACTATTACAGGGTGGGGGCAGCTTCTAAACAGTACCTGAAAACCCCCATTTACCTGCTTTAGTCAGCCTCAGCATCAAGGCTGGCATCCAACGCCCTCCTTCCCTAGGACCTGCAGAGCTTACATGCAAAGCCACAAAACCTGAGCCCTAGTCCCGAAACTTTAACCTTAGTGCTGTTGCTCATGTGTTTTTCGGTGTCTTGAGGCTTCCCGGGGTTATTTGCAACGTACTGCTTGTTATGCTTGAAGGATCATGGGACGTAGTAACTGGGGTTATAAGTAAGGTAACTATAGTTATAATTAGTTGTAACCCCAATTAGGGCACTTATAACCTTACTAAGTCCCATGATGCTCCAAGCCCTTAAGCCGCTCGACCAAGCTGCTTGGCTTCTTGCTCATGGCGACAGTATTTCCCCCACCGATGTTGGGGCAGCGCAAGACCGTCATTGCAAAAAGTCTGGCCATTCGGCTCGGGTCATTAGCTTTATTTAAAGGAATGGTGAGGGTTTAGGGCTCGACAGGGTAGGGTGAGCATTTCAATGGTGAACTATGCTACTTAAGTCCTTAAGCCCCATAGTAGAGCTCTTTAGAGCACTAAGCTGCTGAGAGCCACTACACTCCTTACAGCTCTGCAATCTGAATGCTCCAGATCTTCGGAAGTCCGAGCAAGTAGACTAAGTTACGGACCCGACCCTACAACCGTAAACCCCATACCTGGGAGGATATTGTGACTTAGCAAGTTAGGTCTTAAGTACCCTAATTGGGAGATCTAAGTACTGATAACCATGGTTATTACCTGGTTTAAAACCCTAGCTACTAAGTCCCATGATCGTCGAAGCGACCCTCAGAACCCCTACTATAGAATCCATATAGATGCCTTCAAGTAACCCTTCAAGTAGCCCTTTAGGGAGCCCTACAACCCTAGTTACTCAGTCCCATGATCCTCTAAACAGAACCCTCGGGAACCCTACTTGGAGGATCATGGGACTTAGTAAGTAAGGTTATAAGTACCCTAATTGGGGTTTTAAGTAATTATAACGATGGTTACCCTATTTATATCTCCAATTACTATGTCCCATGATCCTCCAAGTAGGCACTATAGGCTGGAAGTCCCACAGTCCCAAAAGCCTAAAGCCATACTTGGAGGATCATGGGACTCAGTAACTTTGGGTTTAGGGCCCCTTTAAGGGATCTATAGGGGTACGATCAGGGTTTAGGGATCGTGGGACCTAGAAACCCCAAAGTCCCAAAAGCCTAAAGCCCTACTCTTTTGGGAACCCATATGGGAGTTTCCGAAAATTAAGGGTACCTTATTTTGGGGGTCCCTATAAAAAATAAGGGTCCTACTATTTAGGGTATTATATTAGGGTCCCCCCTATTTTCGGAAACTCCCATATAGATCCTTTTCAGGAATCCTATAACCCTCAGCTTCTGGCGTTGTAGGGGACCCTAAACCCCAAAAGCCCCTATAGACCCTGTGAAAGCTTGGGAACCCGAACCCTCAACCCTAAAACCCCAAAACCCTAGACCCCAAACCCTAAAACCATACAAACCCTGAGCCCTGGAACCCGGAGCCGGGGCCAGGAACAGGTGAACCAGCTTGCGGCCATCGCCGAGGACCCGGGCGCCGCTCACGAGCTCTGCGGTTAGGGGTTTAGGGTTAGGGGTTTTAGAGTTTAGGGCTGTAGGTTTAGGGGTTGTGGCTACAATTCTAGAGTTTAGGGTTGGATCATAGGCTGTCATGTGCGTGTTACTTTGTATTAAAAGGGCAGCGTTGGTTTGGTTTTTTCGGGTGTGGTGCAAGAGGATTACGACTTAGAGAATCAAGGGCCTTCAAAATTGAAGCATGGCAGCCACACGAGGCTTGAATTGCAAGTACTTGCAAAGTTCCTACAGGGGGCTTCACAGGGTCTTGTACCAGCCCGTTTACAGGACATCACATAGATCACCAAGACTGCAAACCCCAATTCTGCGCTGGTAGCACAGGCGTTGTTTGAATGAGTTTGAGGAGTTCGAAGGTCATCGGATCAGTCGGCAAAGCTATATGTGCCGTTTTTTGCGGTTAGAAGTAATCATACATACAGATACCTTATTGATAAATAACCCCACACATGGGAGTTTCCGAATACGGGGGTACCTTGTTTTGGGGTCCTTATAATAAGGATCCTACAATTTGGGGTACTATATTAGGGTCCCCTACTTTCGGAAACTCCCACATCTCTGAAGGCAAAAGCGCGACACTCGAAAGCCGTAGTGGCTTTAGGGCGGAGGGGCAGTATACTGGGCTTTACATTACAAGGGCTTGTACGGGCCGTAAACTTACCTTTGATTAGTAGGGAATGGAGGAATGTGGTACCATTATAACGACTATTACTACCATTCTTCCATTCCCTACTAACCAAAGGTAAGTAAAGCCTGAATCTTCTGAACCCTACTTGGAGGATCATGGGACTTAGTAATTGGGGTTATAAATAAGGTAAGTATAGCTATAATTACTTATAACCCCAATTAGGGCACTTGAAACCTTACTTACTGAAGGCCATGATCCTCCCAGTAACCCGCGAGCCGCAACACGTCCCTTGGAAAGCCGTCGGAGTGCACGTCAGGAGCTCACCGATGCGTTGGAGGCACCAGTCAAGGTTTATCCCCAGGATGACCCGTTTTGCGCCGTTATCTTGGGGCGGGTGGCCTTCTTATGTTTGGGTGGCAGAAAAAGGGTATCCCTTGTATCAGGCTGAAACGCGTAATATCGGGGCCCCAATAATTTGAATTGCATTTCGGGTCCCATTATACTATAATGATAATAAGGAACCCCCAAATAGTGTTGGTAATTATTTAGGCCCCTATAGTAAAGCACCGTGCCCGAAGAAGAGGGTCTGCTGTGCTCGAACACGGGCACAATCTGTGTTGTATGATACAGGCCTTGATAAGTACCTGTACTATTTTGGGGGCTCTTTGTTATAATTATGGTACAGTGAGCCCCAAAACCCTATTCTAACTATTAAGGCCCCTATCTTAGGGCGTTTAGCAAGTCTTTGGAGGTGCTACAGTGCGTATAGGGTCGTTTCATCCGCTTTGTGAAGGATGCTTCTGGGTTCCAGTACGGTTTGAATTGTCAGACTCCCAATCAACAAGCCTTCCAACCTTGAACCTTTCATGTGGGCGGGCCTCTTGAAAATAGAATTGCTGAAGCTTTCTGAGTATTTGTGAGTTTAAAGGGCGAAAGCTGCATTGCCATTGCGATTATTATGACTATCGTGTTATTTTCATTCGTTGTCATGTTCATTTTTGATGGCTATTATTGTCATTATCACTACGGTTCTTACTGGCCTATTTCATGTTTTATGAGTACTGGGATTGCTGCGGAGCCTGGAGGCTGGACCAGGGCTGCAAGGTTCCACACGTCAGGGCTTTGGGCTTAAGCCGCACTGCAGAGGCCTTAATAACTAGAATAGGGTTTTGGGGGGGGGTTCCTTATTGATATTATAGTATAATATCCCCCAAGCCCAATTCTATTATACTATAGCATAATATCCCCCAAAGC